AATAATTACGATTTTGTAAAATTTTATATAACTTTTCTTCTCAGTTTAACCCAATCTACTATAATCTTTGGGGTCGTCCATATCGAATCTGACACCCTGTATATCTTTATATTATTAATTATAATTTATATTATCAATTATACTTTTAATATTCAGTAACATGACATTATAACCATTTATATTAATTAAATATATCTCTGTGCATTTAGGTACCATCATTCCTTGATAATGATGCAGACATTGACAGAACTGTACGAACGTGCGTAGATTATATGCTGAGCCTACAAACAACAACCGGTAATTTTCCATGTTCCATGGAGGAGATAGATCGTTCTGGACGAAGTCCCAAAGACAACGACGACGAATTGGTACATTGGTGTCACGGTGCTCCTGGTGTTATTTACATGATGGCAGCCGCATATTTGCGTTGGAAAGATAACCGTTACCTTGATTCATGCAAACGTGCTGGTGATCTTGTCTGGCGCAAAGGCCTTCTACGTAAAGGATCTGGAATTTGTCATGGCGTGGCGGGCAATGGCTATGTCTTTCTCCTTCTATACAGGCTTACCGGTGATGAGCGTTACCTTTATCGTGCTGCTAAATTTGCAGACTTTATGAATTCGTCACAGTTTCAAACTGACGCACGCATTCCTGACATGCCGTACTCGCTGTATGAAGGTATTGCTGGTACTGCCTGTTTTCTCGCTGATCTTATGGAACCAGACAAAGCTCATTTTCCTTTCCAAGATGTATTCTAATTGTAAGATCCAAATGTTAAAAGAGAACAATTTCTATTTTCATTGTGATACGAACCTCTTTAAAATTAGTTTGATTCTCTTTGTGTCCGTGATTATAATATTGTGACAATGAGATAATTAATTACTGAGATAAAAAGAAAAAGTTATAAATTGAGTACGTCCTATAAGTAAATTTTTAGAGATATTTTTTAAATAAAAATGTGACATTTTAATTTTAATTTAAAATATATATTTTTCATTATTATTTGTATAAATTCTTTCCATCCTAATCTTAAAATTTCAATTTCTTGCTAACAAGCATTTTTATTTTGAACTAAAAAATAAATAAGCTCTCTTTTATATCACATTATTTATGGGATGCTGATCTTCTAGGAAGAATTTTAACTGCTATACTATGTGTTTACTTTAATCTCATTCAACTATTAAGTGTCTACTGAAAATTTTTATTTTACCTGATATCTTTACAAGGGTAATACTAATAATACAATATAAAAGAGCTTAATTTATGATTTAACTCAAAACCGAAAGATTTATCACCAGGTAATTAAAATATTTTAATGGGATAAAATTGTAAATAGTAATTGAAAATTTTAGAAATATTAGAATATTTTGGATTAAAATTGAAATTTCATGTTTTTTTGGTATTATTTCGAACAAATCTCTAAAACCATCCTTTACTTTAGACGGCCCAATATAAATTAATATAAATACTAATGGCTCGTATGATAAAAATCACTTAATTATAAAAAAGAGGCTCAGAGCCTAGACATGGTTGTAGTGTTCAATACAAATTATTTAATTAGAAGAGAATATACGTTTTAGTCCTTATTGGACCATCTTCAGTATGAAGAAAGAACTAAATACAAATTGACGCATGGAAAAATTCGCAATGTTTACAAAGGATTACGCAGTCAATAGTATAAAAATAAAAGGATATAAAAGTTGTGATAAATTATAGACCGGTTGTACATAAAACGCGACGCAAGTGAGTGTAACATGATAAATTAAAAAAGAAAGCTGTAACAGTCCAGAAAATATTTTTATGAATAACCTTGTGCAAAAAGAGAGCTAGGTCATAAAGAGGACTAGTAATGGATAAAACTAGGACTATAAGGGGACAGCCCGATTTATGGACCTTAGGCAACCATATGCTCTTGGTAGAAAACTATCGGTAGTCGGCAAGTGTCTATAAACACCCTTTGAAATATAACTGTTTCTCTTCCACCTTGTTAGTAATTTGCGTAAATCATTAGTCGTACTTCTAGTTGGAGCTTTGGTAACCACCGTATAAGTTTCACAGTCAAGAAGCATATCCTCCAGCTTCTTAAAAAAGTCAATGTTGGACGTAACGACTGTGATGTAGCCTTTATCAGGTTTGGTGAAGGACATGTCTGGGTGTTTTTTAGAAAAATCTTTATTTTTATACTATTGACTGCATAATCCTATGTATGATCTATCTTGCGAATTCTATGTGTTAATTTTTATTTCTTTCTTTCTTTATACTGAAGGTGGTCCAATAAGGACCTAAACGTATATTCTTTTCTAATTAAATATTTTTTATTGGACTACAACCTTGTCTAAGGCTTTGAGCCATCTTTTTTATAATTAGATAAATTAATATATTTTTATACAATTTCTTCTTAATCTTTCATATATTTTATTTTGTTTTGTGGCAAATCACACAGCCCCACCAAAAAAATTTTTTGTCCGGCGGACCAGACTAGTCAATTCCTACGTATTTTGGGTCGCTGAATCCGAATCCGAGGTCAGAATTCTAAAGTTGGCTCGTTTTTTCTTCCTAACCTCAAAAAACATTCTTTTTTGGTACATTTTATGCCATAATAAAAAACCGTGAGCTAGCTTTTAAATTCTGACCGTGAATTCAGATTTAGAAAGTTACGTTACATAATACTTGACTAAATTTATCAAATTCAAAATGGTGGATCCAATATGGCGGATGTTTATAAAATTGGTCCGATTCGCTTGAAACTTGGTACATACCCGGGGGGTTTTTAGGGTCGCTGATTACGAATCTGAAGTTAGATCCAGAAATCAGTTATATATAACACTAAATATAACTCAAAATATACTGTTGAATTTTATATTTTATTTTTTGGATATCATTTTAACTTTTCTCTGCGTTATACGTCATGAATTTATTATTCTGTTTCAATGAAAGGATTTCTTATATTTATTTATCATAAAAAATTTTAGCTATTTTTTAGAATATTGAGTTATAATTGCGTTAAACATTGTATTGAAATTTTTATGAGAACATAAATATATAAAGATATTCTCTCCCCCCTCCCAGAAATACATTTTTACAAATATGTTAAAATAATTTTTATATATCCTTGTTATGAGGCTTCTATTTTTTGTTTAACTACCTAAATGTTATCAAGAGAACATGATATCATTAATAATAATTTAGTTGAGTATAGTGAAAAAATATAGTGGAAAATCGATTTCGTCGATTAATTACAATTTACATAATTATATAACAAAACGCAATAAATCTGTATGTATCCTGCTATGTATGTGTATATACATATATAGTATGTATATGTATATATTCGTGTACAATTTGTCACTTCCTAAATCTAGTGAAACAAGTCCAAAGATGTTCACTCTGTTCTATAAGAATAATGCAGCATCAAAGTACTGATAATATGTATATATACTAATATTTAACATATATAATAATATATAAGTTTTACAAATTATTAGAATAAATTATAAAACATTTAACATAATATGATGTAAAAAGTAATTCAATATAACAAATGCAATATAATAAACGCAAAATGCAAACATTATTTATGTATACCTAGATTCTAGACAAAATGCATGTCTAAATGACATATTAAAAACGTCTTCCAAAAGACATCTTTAAAATTTTACGAAAACACGTCCGTAAGACGTCAGAAAAAATGTCTTTAAGACATTGTTAAAAAGAAATCCTTATAACGTCTTGTAAAATGTCTAAAACTTTTTTGTTATATATAATAACAAATTCTGTCTTCGATGCTTCGAATTAATTTCCCCCTAACGCGTTCATCGCAAACGATAAAGAAATTGTGATTTTACTTAATAATATATTTTATTGATTATTTGAGTGATATTTAATACGATACTGCTTTGTGCGAAGACTTCAAGTCGTTAAAATACAGTACTAATTTCTTCAATATAACAATGTTTACCTTATTGCTGAGTCTTGATTATATTTCAGGTCTTGCAGCAGCATCTCCGTTCCATTCGCTAATCCAGTTGAGCTTGCATCAGACTGTGCGTGATATGTAATTCATAGTTTGCTGTTCGCGAACGGCACGAGTAAACAAATTCGTCACGTTCATCGTTTACTGAACTAATCAACTTGCTAGCGGAGCGGTTCTTTTTCCACACAAAATCTGAGCGCGAATCACGTCACGAGTCAGTTAATTCGTATATAGAACTACTCTGTGCATTAAAATTTGTACTTATTTCTATGTGTATTGGAAAGATATTATGATAATTAACATAATTGCTTGGAAAGTTGATTATATTGTTTACAATAATGGATTTTCCACTGTAGTAATTGAAACAAACTTTCCATAATGGGGTAAAAATCTACGCGAGTAGATAATCGCACATTTATAACGTGCGCTTATAAAAGAACTGTGTAATTGTGAAATTCTAAAAATAGAGATTTCAAGAGTAGAAAAACAAAATTGCCGCCGAATTACAAATCGTAAATCACGAAGGTCCACATTGGCGAACTACAGATTTTCAAAAAACTTTTACGAATAGCGAATTGTAAATCGCACATATCCTGATGTTAGCTTTAGGTGGCATAATATTTCTTGATACGAGTTCAGAATCTAATCATATAATACATAAAACGACGCACAATGCGCTACGAGTACGAGAAGATGTATGTATGAGCTACACAAAAAATATTCTTTTATTTGCAAACTAGAAGTACGAAAAATCATGGAATTTTTGCTTTCTATTAAATTGCATTTATATTAACGAATTCAGTCTTAAATTAATAAGATTCTTATGTGCACTTTTGCGAACTACAATTTAGTATGTCATTCACATTCGTGTAACGATTCAAGGATTGGCACACAGCATCCAACAAAGTACGTCATCACACAACATCCATCGATACGACAGCGAAGTATCAACTTTTGCTGAGACGCTACAAATCCACCCGAGTAATATTAAAATATTTGTAACAAAGTGCTCGAGTAATTTTAAATCGTGTTAGTTGTAAAAAAAAGTATTTTATTACATTGAAATTATTAACATTAATTGAAATTCATGTTGTTAACAGAGCAAAAGGAAGTGATGATAATATTGTTAAATACTGTTCAATATTATCATCACTTTCTTTTGCTCTTTATTTTCATTCTTTTTCTCACTCCAAGAGACTGTTCTGTGTCATCGTCTTCATTATTACCACCGCGTTTCCGCTTGCCCGACTTCCTGTTCTCTTCGATGTTTTTGATGTCCTGGGGTGTTACAATAACGTTTATACGTAATCGTCTATGTCTCTTATCAAATCGCCAGGGTTGGTAAGTTATCTTTTTTTAAACTTAATTAAGCTAAGTTAAAGTTAAGTCTTGGAAAATTTAACTTAGCTGAGATACAAGTTAACCCATAATGACAATAATTTAATTAAAAGTTGAGTTAATAAAAAGAAATTAAAAAGTTAAATTTGTTTTATTTTTACACATAATTTCAGAGACTCGCAATCACGTAAATTGCGTTAATTTCACGACCAGTGTTTGGACAACCAATCATTACACGGAATATGGCCCGTGTTATGGGAATAAATTCACGCGAGTTCAAGAATCAAAGTCTCATATAATGGCTGTGTTCAAAAAATCACCACCAGCGCTGAAGATCTATGGTGCACGTAGATTTTTAGCACCCACAGTAAATTTTGGAACACAGGGACTGCCAATGTAGGCAGGTGCACGACGCCTTTGTTTATGGCGTGGCTAACTTTAAGAGAAATCAATTGAAAGTTAAGTTATCGATAACATGTAACTAAATTAAGTTAAAAGTGAACAGTCTATAATGTAACTAAGTTACGTTAAAATTATCTAAATTTTTAACTCAACTTTTATCTTTTTAACTAGACACTACCCAACCCTGCCAATCGCACGTTGTAAAATCGTCCTTACCATTTTTGCTATTCGCTGCGCTTCGCTCACTCTCTCTTGCAGCAACATCACTTCATCCTCTTTGGTAGGATATGACGGCAGCTCTTTACCTATCAACTGTTCTATTCGTTGATACAGTTCCACGTCGTATTGCGTGACAAACGTGATGGAACGGCCTGACCGACCTGCACGCGCAGTTCGGCCTACTCTGTGTATATAATCCTTACTATGCGTGGGGATGTCAAAATTGATGACGATGTCTACGTGCGGAATATCGAGACCTCTGCAAGAACAATGCAAAGATGATTTAACATCTGTTTTTAACATAAAACAATTCAACTTGACAATATCCTTTAGTTCGGATTGTGCAGACTAACCGGCTGGCAACGTCCGTTGAAATTAATATGGATCTGTTTTTTGCTTTAAACTTTGTAAGCGCGGCGATCCTCTTGTTCTGCGACATTTGCCCGTGCAGGGGAACCGCCGTGAATCCCAGATTTCGTAACAGCAGGGCAGTTCTTACTGTATTGTTGCAGGTCCCGCAAAATACCATGAAACTGTTGCCCGCCAATTCATTCAAGATATGCACGAGGTACACGTCCTGCAACGACCGCTCTTTATGAGGTTGATGAAACATTTCACATTTACGTCGCTCATGACGACTGTCATTTACTTCGCAGTTAACAGTTATATCGTTTACGCTCCGTACCTTGAATTTCACTGGAATAAATTTGTAATATTGTTGCAGCTTCTCCACAGTCTGATACTTCGTAGACGCTTCAACTTTCACGGGATTTCGCAGGGACGCGCGCTGCAGCTTTTGCACAGTCTTGGTCATCGTCGCTGAGAACAGCAACGTCCTCCTCTCCCGCGGTATTACTCTGAGAATCTTGTCAACCTCCGCCTCGAAGTCCACGTTTAAGATGCGATCTGCCTCGTCCATCACCTTGCGGGTAAAACGAGAGACAGGAGAGATTAGAGTCGGTGCGACAATTGTCAAAATAAATCCATCTGGCGACGTGCAATTACCAGAAACTTCAACTGTCGTAAATTAAAGCCCTTCGTATTCTCCAAGTGGTCGACTAGTCTACCAGGCGTGGCAATGATAATATGAGGCTTCTTTTCGAGTACCATTCCCTGTGCATGCATGTCCATTCCACCAACTAGCACCGCAGTTTTCACGCCCATACTGGAACCTAAAATGATTGTGGCACAATAATAAATAAATATAAACCGATGCGTGTTGAGCGACATAAATTGTTCTTACCTAACGCATCGAATTGCTCTGAGATTTGAAACGCCAATTCTCTTGTAGGCGTCAGGACCAGCGCGAAGTATCGCTGAGGATTCTCCAATAACGCCTGCAGTATTGGTAATGCGAAGGCAGCAGTTTTTCCCGATCCAGTCTCTGCCAATCCAATCACATCCTTGCCTATCGACAGAAAAATGATTGTTACCGCTTGCCAGAAGTTGACGGCAATTAAAGTCATTAGGTTCGAATTACCTTCAAGTGTGAAAGGGATAGCTTCCTTTTGAATCTTGGTAGGTGCCGCCCACTTCAAATCCAAACATGTTTTGCAGAGCGTGTCCACAAGTCCCTGCAATTAGTATCTTTCTGTTATATTTATTTCAAACATATTGCCAAAAAGTTTATAAGTATTTGTACGATTTATAATTTCTACCTTTTACTTTTAAGTTATTTTAATTATATAGCATGACTTAACATTAAATATATACAAATACAAAGTAATAAAGGAATAAGAGCCAAAACAAGGGCATTAGTGTCTAAATAATTTTAATTTAAAGTCTATTGCAAAAAATAATACCTCAGCCAGTGCGTCTCACATGCCTCGGTGGTTGAATTGGTGAGAGACGCCTGTCTGGTGTCAGTGAGCGAAAAAGAGAAAGAGGAGGCCCAGATTCAAACCCTGGCTAAGGTATCATTTTTCGCAATAGACTTTAAATTAAAATCAGACACGCAACTGTCTTGGCTCTTGTTCTTCATTACTTTGTACTTGTGCTCTCACATTGGAGCCTTAGAAATTTTATTAATTGATTAAATATGTCACGCGAGTCCCTTTTAACGTATAAATATTTACTCGTAAATTTCACTTGTTCGTCATGAAATTTTTAAAGATCACGCTTATCACGTGAAGCGATTAATTGATAAAAAGTTTTAGTGCAACGACAAAGAACAGTCCTCATGACTAAACCTAGAGTTTAAAAAAAGTTAAAAGTCCAAGGTTCGCGAAAGAATATCTGGCTGAGTATTATAAGATCGTAACTCGTTTTAGGTATAAATACACACACAACTAGTTAAACCACTAACGTTTCACGCAAATGCCTACGTCTACAGGCAGCGTGTCATTAACGTGCAAACATTTTTTGTTTTTTTTACGTCATGTCTTTCTCCTTGGGAGAGCGCCGTCGGCCTGTGCCAACTATGCGTTATTTGGAATAGTATCTTTGCGTATCCTGATCCTTTATACAATTTCCTCAACGTGCGCAGCTTGCTTTGAGGTTAGGTTTCACGCAAGGTTATAATTGAGATGTGGTCGAATACTTACCAAATCTTTCCATGGCTTGGTGACTTGGTCAGAATTACTTTGAGCCTTGGTATCTTCGACTAATTTTTCTGAACTTTCCATGTTTTCGCAAATCCGAATACCCAATACAAGTGATACGGGTGATCGGGCCACGCAATAAGGAGACCGAACTGCCCGTAATGGCCGTAATCAGTAGCAGAGAGAAGCCTGAGAGATGTCACGGCCCCGTTTTTCGTGATTGGCGAATGCGATACGCCCTCTGTGGACATTGAAAACGTGGACATTGAACTACGTAGCCAATATCCACATTTTGCCAAGTGGGTAACGCAGATTTGCGAAATTTTGGTTGCGTTTCGTGCTATAGTCAGGTCCTGTGCGATGCTCTTGTACTTAAAATTATTTTAAGTACAAGATCATTGCATGGGATCTAACCATAGCGTGC